CTATTCATTAAGCTACAAATGAAAATGGGACTCCACGTAAACGAGATTTATCAGCTACTGGGCAGAAGAAAACTCAAACCAATGTGCGTGTACTTAGAGGTCATAGTGGCTCGGTTACTGCTTTACATTGTGTAACGAGGAGAGAGGTTTGGGATCTTGTGGGCGACCGCGAAGATGCTGGTTTCTTCATCAGTGGAAGCACAGACTGCACGGTGAGCTCTGCATATCTACCAAACAATTCCATTGCACAAGAGTCTGTCCTCTGAAAGGGGTATATTAATTCTTTTCAGCAATCTTTCAGGTTAAGATCTGGGATCCTAGCTTTCGTGGTAATGAACTTCGGGCAACCTTGAAAGGACACACAAGGTTTTGTTGTTTTCTACTGTTACTATTGTTCTTACTATCATCATTATCATCATTTTGTTGTTTTGTTTCAATTACTAGTTGACTATACTTTTGTTAAAATTTTAAAATCTACTATAGTATTACTAATTTTTTTTATAAATAAAAATAAAAATTGTTTGGCTTTTATTGCATGTCAATACATATAGGGTACATTTATCAAATCCAATGTGCCCTACTACACTTGGTTTTATGTGGCAGTATCCTTTGTCATAATGACTAATTCAACATAGCTCAGTGTCCTTCCTCTCATGTCCTTTTGGGCCTTGTTACAGAGCTGTTCGTGCAATAAGTTCTGATCGAGGAAAGGTAGTATCCGGATCAGATGATCAGTCTGTTTTAGTATGGGATAAGCAAACTACTCAGCTTCTAGAAGAGTTGAAAGGCCATGATGCACCGGTGAGCTTACTCACTTTGCTTATTATGTTGACTAGTTACCGGACAATGGAAAATCAAGCACTTAGTTGTTATATTATAATGTGGTAATAGTCACACAATAATGACCAATCTTTCCATCAAAATTAAATATCTCACCCTTGATGTGGAGTACGTATTGAACTTTACTTCCTATTGTCCATCCTTGTAGGTTAGCTGTGCGCGCATGCTGTCTGGTGAGCGTGTCCTTACCGCTGCTCATGATGGAACTGTAAAGATGTGGGATGTTAGAACTGACACTTGTGTAGCAACTGTTGGTCGTTGCTCTAGTGCCGTTCTATGCATGGAATATGATGACTCCACAGGAATTTTAGCTGCTGCTGGTCGAGATGCGTATGTATATTGAAACTCGATTAAGCATGCTTCATTATGAAAAATTTATTCAACTAATGCCTAGAAATTAATCCTCTGAGTTCTTGGATTATCAGCATTGCAAACATCTGGGACATTCGTGCGGGAAAGGCAATGCACAAGCTTGTAGGGCACACAAAATGGATTCGGTGAGCTAAAGGAGCATAGCTTTTCTTTTATGTATTTTATTGATAATTTTTAAGTAGCCATGTATTTTATTGATAAATATTAAATTAGCCATGTATTTTATTGTCAATCATGCAGGTCGATTAGAATGGTGGGGGACACAGTTGTTACTGGTAGTGATGATTGGACCGCAAGAATGTGGTCCGTTTCCCGAGGAACATGTGATGCTGTTCTAGCATGCCATGCTGGCCCAATATTAAGCGTTGAATATTCCACACCTGACAAAGGAATAATTACAGGTTGGCACTCCTATTCTATTTGCTATGTTATTTTTCCTAGATTTCTCCCAAGATTTTTGGTCGCAATGCTTTTACACATGCGCCAATAAAACTGTTGGAATTATAACATGTGATTTCTGTTCCAGGTTCAACTGATGGGCTACTCCGCTTTTGGGAAAATGTGGAGGGTAAGAGCATTTTATCTCGACTCTAGAATTTTTATTTTTCATTCTTTCATGTTCAACTATTATTATTTCTAGGTTCTTTTTCTGTGATAAGAAACAGAGACTATTAAAATATAATGTTGGTTGGTTTCTACAAGATTTTTTGTAATTAATCAAATAATTATGTCAGAGTTTATAGAAATGATTTAAGTTTCCCTTCGAATTACTGCCATTCTTCAATGAAAAGTAAGCATTTACCATTGCTTCTGTTGCTTTTATGCAGGAGGTATAAGATGCGTGAAAAATGTTACTGTTCATACTGCTGCTATATTGTCAATCAACGCTGCAGAACACTGGTTAGGAATTGGAGCTGCTGATAATTCCATGTCTCTTTTCCATCGGCCTCAAGAGAGACTTGGTAGCTTCTCTAGCACGGGAACAAAAATGGCTGGGTGGCAACTATACCGAACACCACAAAGAACAGTTGCTGTGGTATGCACTAATCCGAACCATTTTATTCCTACAAGAAAACACGCTCTCTCTCTCTCTCTCTCTCTCTCTCTCTCTCTCTCTCTGGATATAATAATAATTTTCTTTTACCGTTCTGTATGCATCTGCTTGTTAATGGCTATTTGTTTCCCCTGTTTTACTCACTACCTTGTGCTATCCAGGTACGATGTATTGCTACGGACCTCGAGAGGAAAAGGATATGCAGCGGCGGTCGTAATGGACTTCTTAGGCTTTGGGAAGCCACCATAAACATTTAAGTTTCTGGTGCGTTTGTGTATTTATGCTGAGTAAATGTCACATCATTTTTCTTTTCTTCCAAAAAATAATCAATTTTTGCCAATATATTTTACAAGTTGTACCTACCTACATACATTCTGAGTTGTAAAATTGGCGTGTTGAAGCTAAATACAATACGAAGAGAAGAGGGGCTGGTTTGTTGTCGCCCCGTTTGTGTAATTTCTTGATCCATGGTGTGCGTTTTCGGGTTTGCTTAGTTTGGTATTAGTGAATTGGATCTCTGTTAAGTGAAAAAATAACATTAATCAGATGAGGTATTTGATAAGTTCGTGTTTGGAGCCAGAAATAGTTCATATTTCCCGGACCCAAATTTGGATGTCGCGCCAATGTTCTAGAGATCGGAATGCAGGACTTGTAGCTGGACCATCTGTTTGATTCAAAATCACAAAATGTTCACATTCACATCAATCGGTTTAGACATTGATGATCCATCCCTCTTCACCACCCCTCATAACAAAAAATACAAGATAAAAAAGCATCCCACAACATAAAAGCATACAAACCAACAAAATACCAAGTCGATGCTTAGTTTTGATGGGAAATAGGAAGGATAGCCAATATCACAAACATTTGGTTTTGTTCAATATCCAGTCATTCTTTGGGTCGTGGGGGGAGCCATGGCAGCTTGCCGCTTTTGCTGCAACCTCTGCATATGCTCCATGTTTCCTACCCATCCTACAACACACAAAGATGTCATATGAAACACCATAAGCCATCATACATATGCAAATCACAACGTCATATTGTGAATGGGAGTGTTTGTATGTACCTAAAGAAGGGTCCAGGCCTCTGAGCTCGAGCTCCCTATGTTCTTGGCAGAGAGCGCACCACTCACATAAGAAGTGAATGATGCAGTCGGGAGCGGGGCTTTCAGGTAGGTCAAACTTGTTCCTTAGCTTTTTCCGATATGTGCATGATAGCAAGCATGGCACAAAGATGCACACCGTGATCAGCATGTAAATCAGTGAATTGACTGCGCACGCTGAACGTATATTGACACTTAGATCAATGTCGTGAACATAAAAGTAGTCAAATATTAATTCATTCATGGGAATCAGAAAACGATTTAACTCGACTTACAGGTTTGACCATTGTTGACAATCTCTGCAACCTGACCGAATGTCCAGCATGGGCAGAATAACGTCATGATAGCTGAAATATAACAACAAATATATGTATTTTTCATGAATCCTCCAAGCTAAGCCGTATAAAAAAGTTGGAGTATCATATGGTGAGTTGAGAGTACCATTTGGGGGGTCATGTAAGCACTGAAAAAGCCCCGTTTTCCAAGCACTGTCTATGCCAGCGGGCTGAGGCAGCAGCATTGGTAGGTATTGAACATTTTGGACGGGTATTCCTGTTTCTGCAATATAATTAGGGTTATAATGTAGAGGCGGCAGCTGATTTCTAGCTGCAGCAACTGGATTGTTATAATATTGCAGTTGTCCAGAGTGATGAGGAACAAATTGGTAAGCAGCCGGAGGAGGGAAAAGCACTTGCGGTGTAGTATAATAAATTGCAGGAGCAGAAGAAGCTCGGTGATGATGATGATGATGATGAGGAAGATAATATGGAGTTGGAGTTGGATGCGGGCGTGGTGCTGCTGGGCCAGTTGGCATCAATGCTTGTTGTTGGGGGTGTACTTGGTATGCCGCTGGTGGTGCAGGAGCATTATAATTATGGTGAGGCCAATGATAATGGTGTAACATGAGATTGGTGTTATAGGGGTTTGTGGGAGGCAATTGTGCCGCATGATGTAAAGGCCGGGGTTGTTGATGATGATCAAGACGTGATGTTCCAACGCTGTGGGAGGGGTTTGGGGGTGCAAGCTGTGGACGGTTATAGTGGGGCTGCATGGCTTGATGTTCATGAGTTTGATCATGATGGTTTGCAATTGCTTGATGTTCATGAAGATCATCATCTGCCTCGTGATCAGGACTGGGTTCTATAGCAGTAGAGGGGTTATTTGGAGGGGGAAGCTGTTCTGCAGGCAGCTGCTGCTGGGGTTGTTGCGCATGTACTGCGAATTTGAACGGCGCCTGGTTTGGTTGATGTTCAAGAGGATGCAGTTGAGCATCACAAGTTTGTGCCTCAGGACGTCCCATGAGATCCACCCCAGGACGTCCCACGCTCTGGGAAGAAGAGGGGTTTGAGCATCAATGGACCCAACCAATTGGACGGCAACGTCATCGCGTCTTTATATACAAACGAGAAAACTAAGGACAGCCTCTCACCCCTACTTTTGCTACCATATATTCTATTCTATACACACATTGTCAACACGGTTGACCAAAAGGATGCATTGACTTTCATCTCTAAATATACATATGTGAGATTTGTTGTTGTGAACATGGTAGGTTATCTTATAAGCATTAGGCATTATACGAATATATATACACATAAAAGAAACTCCATCAAAACAAAAATATTCGGATTATTTGTCAATGAATGAAAACAACAATTCGTTCAATATTACAAGAATGAAAAGCGATACATATTCATGGTATCCACAATATCACTAAACAAGAAAATAATAACATAGAAAAAGAAAATATTGGCCTTGATGACAGAAAACGCAAAAGTCTGCAAACGGTTGAGATTTATAACAAAGATGATGAGATCAGAAACATTAATTTGCTTCAATTTCTCATGAAACCAATTATCATATCATATTTGTTTGTCATTGACAATTATGATTCATATATTGGGGTGGTGGGGGCGCCATCATGTTAGCTCGCAGCTGCTGCTGCAAGTTGGGATTCCGTTGCAAATTTCCTATCCAACCTACAAAGATGCATAGAAGAAGGAAGGAGGATGGATATTATATTTTTATATAATATAATGTACATACATGAAATCACGAACCGTACGTAACGTTACATACCTATGGAAGGATCTATCCCTCTGATCTGAAGTTCCCTATATTCTTGGCAGAGAGCACAGGGTTCACAAAACAAATGAGTGACCCAATCGGGTGCAGGGGCCTCCACCAGCCCAAACATGCTCCGCAGCTTTGTGCGATAAGTGCATGACATTATGAATGGTACCCCAAGGAAACTTGCAATCAACCCGTAGAACAATCCGCTGATGGCACATGCTGCATTAATTACTCGGGCAGTTAATTAAGCATGGATCATTCTACATAAGATAAGATAAATATATATGTTTTGGATGACTTACAGGTAGTGCCGTTATCCACAATCTCTGCTATCTGCCCGAACGTCAAGCATGGAACGAAAGCCGTTGTGAGAGCTGAAATATTGTCATAGTACGCTTATCATCATACTTTATTAAGATTCATTAATTGATATATAATTCCATGTATACTACGAAATGTAGACGTACCATTCATTGGATCATCCATGCAATCAAATAACTCAGAACTCCAGCCCCCAGTGCCAACATTCTGCAGGTTTATATGATTAAGAGGTCCCGGCTGGTAATGAGGCTGCTGCACTGGAACCCCTTGAGCAGCATAATTATTATCAGGCACGCCATTGGCATTGCCTGCATTAACATTAATGTACCCTGCTTGTGCTTGTTGCGGCTGCTGCTGCTGGTAACGAACCTGATGAGGTGTACTTGGACTTGCAGGAGGAAACTTTGCTGGAGATTGTTGGGGTGCTTGTGGTGGGTAGGCCCCAGGTTGGTTAGCCCCATTTCCATACATGGGATTGGGATTGGGATGGGATTGCACATTCTGGGGTGGGAACTGTGCAGCAGCCCCAGTCTGGGGGCTCATTTGAGGCTGCTGATAGCCCTGCTGCTGCTGTTGTTGTTGTTGTTGAGCTTGAAATTGCGGGCTTTGTGGTGGGTACTGCTGTGGACTTTGAGGAGGGAACTGCTGTGGGTTTTGAGGAGGGAACTGCTGTGGCCTTTGAGGAGGAAACTTCTGTGGCCTCTGAGGAGGAAACTGCTGAGGCCTCTGAGGAGGAAACTGCTGAGGGCTTTGAGGAGGGAACTGCTGTGGTTGAGTCTGATAAGGGTTTGGTTGTGGAGGAACTTGTGGTGGGAACTGCATTGGCTGAGGCTGAGATGGCTGTTGTGTCTGCTGAAAGACGACTTGTGGTTGTGGTTGCGGTTGCGGTTGGGGGTCATAATCACTTTGATTGGGTGGCTGTGGCTGAGGTTGTTGCTGTTGTTGTTGGTATTGATCATGTTGGTTTTGGTCATCATAGTTCGATGGAGGAACACCGTCGCCAGTGTCAGGCACTTGCTGATACTCAAATTGTTGATCTTGTAACTCAAACTCCACCTCCGCCCCCATTTGAGGTTGGTCATGAACATCACCCTGGTATTCTGCTTCTGGGTCTCCCATTAGCCTATGTACCACTCTAACTTTGTTGATTGATCTCACAGAAATGGAGATAGAGAGCTGTGGATGAAAACATCATAGTGCAATGCTACACAATATATATATCATACATGCCACCAACTATAATAAAAGAAGCTGTTGTGCAAACAATTGAGCAAGCAATAATTAACAAAATCCACTAGTGGGAGTTCTGTCTGGATATATTGAAGTCAAACACACACAGCTGTATATACAAACTATGGAACCGTAATTCACTTACAACAAAAAAGAAAGAAAAAAAGAAGTTTGTGTGAAAGAGGGATGGAACAAATGGTTTAGGGATGGAATAAATGCGGAATTGTTTGACTTAGATATTAATTTGGGGGATTTGGGAAAGTCATGGTGATCACTGTCTGTCTGGTAGACAATAATGTTCTAATGGAATTGCGGAAGAGTTTACTTTGACCAGAATGTCATCCGATTCTTTGCAAAACCAGCAAAAACGCTGGCAGCTAGCGCCATGTGTGCCTGCCTGCAAACTAGTGGCAGAGACAATGTACTTCATCACATGGCCCTCTTCAACAGGAAACACATCCTAATCAAAGTCAATGGAGGGAGGATGGAGCTTAGTTTGACTTTGTTAAGTTGGCCACTTGATATATTTACATTTGATCTTCAGAAAAAGAGGGAAAAGAAACAAGGAGGCTTTTGTTTTGATTAACCAGTCAATTTCCTTCTTAGTTCCTTATATTGGTTTTGGTTGGCATCATAATAATAAGATAAGATGGAAGGAGCAAGCCACATGCCCACATGGGCTTCACTTGGAGCAGCAAGTTGGGCACCCTGCCTAGATGGAACTGGTTTTAGTTCCCCCAGAAAAAAGCAAAACACCTACCTCTGCTCTGCCCTTCAAACAGGGGATGGAAAAATTTTAATCCATGCCAGGTTTGTATTTTGAAAAGGTCAATAATATTAGTCAACTACTTGTATGAACTTTCTTAATCATTGAACTAATAAAATCATCTGTGTTACGCTGTCCAATCCCTAACGTTAATCACAAACATCTCGCAGTCAGTCAAGTCAGCCTGCAGAGTAGCTGCCTGCTACCTAGAATTATTTGCAATTTAAGTATTACTACTAAAAACTTAGCTGCAACAAATTAAAAGCAAACTTATAGCTAGTGTGCTGCATATAAGGGGTTGCAGCTAGCAACTCTCTCAATTAATTTCACTTGGACCTTCTGTTACTTTAGTCTGAGCATTCATAAGACCAAAATGCATCCTAATAACAATAGTGATCCTAAACAAGCTCCACAAGCAGCAGCATACGGCGGTTATCAGCATCAGGCGGCAGCAGCAGCATACGGTGGTTATCAACAACAGGCGGCACCTCCACACGCAGCAGCAGCATATGGCTATCAACAGGGGCCGCCTCAATGGACGACAGGTCTATGTGGTTGCTTTGAAGATCCTTCCAATTGTAAGTCCTAGTAATTAACTAACCTTTTCTATAGTATATATAGTGAACAGGTAAATTAACAATCTTTGCTAACCAATCTTTTCTATTAGGTTTGATGACCTGCTGCTGTCCCTGCGTAACCTTTGGCCAAAATGCTGAGATCATTGATAAAGGAACAACGTGTAAGTCAATAACTTGTCAACCTTTTACTTCCTTGGTGCAGTTACAAATTAAGAACATACATGAATTGAATCAATCATGCTAATTAATCAAATATTAATATAAATTATTGATGCATGGCAATGTTAAGTAAAAAAAATTCTTGATAATATTGCATGCAGCTTGTGCTTTTGCGGGTTTAATCTATCATGCTCTTTCCTATGTGGGGTGTTCTTGTTTGTTCTCGTTTCCCTATCGATCCAAACTGAGAGGCCTATATTCATTGCCGGAAGATCCATGTGTAGACTGTTGTGTCCATTGTTTGCTTCCCAGTTGTGCAATTTGTCAAGAGTACAGGGAGCTCAAGAACCGTGGACAAGACCCCTCCATAGGTACCTACCTATCTACATAATTAATTAACAAAAATTCATAGCCTTAATTAATTGCATGATTAATTAATATGAAAATTCAATGCAGGTTGGATTGCCAATGCTCAGAAAATGAACCAAGGTCAAGCTGGAAACCCTGCACCACCACACATCACGCCAGGCATGTCTCGTTAGACACTTCCCGTGTTGGTTCTTTTGTTCTTCATTCTACGATCAATCAAGAGTGTAATTTGGGAGAGCTCCCGCGGCGAAAGGAATTAGTCACTGCTGTCGGCGGTGGATACCCTTGGGTCTCACCTAAAAAAAAGAGTGTAATTTGATTTATTTCAGTTCATGAGTTTTTCTGGTTTTTCATTAGTTTCTCAGACGCGACCTGCAAGTGAAGTTTACTTTTTTTTAATTATATATATGTATGTATCAGTCGACGGTATTACCTGATTTGTAACGTTGTCGAACTTGACTTCAAATTTATATTCACTCATTTTTCGTACTGATCATTTTTAGCCCAAAAAACATTTTTTTTGTTGAGGACCTCTCTTATTGTGAGGGGCAATAACACACTAAACTCACACACACGACATGAATGCTTTGGAACTTGTATTAGCTTGGGCTCATATCTTTGGCCAAATATCACATTTAAATTTAAAGTTACAAATTGTTACATCATTTGCCTATTCATTCGTTAAACTTAATTCATTTGTTAAACTTAAGGAGGACTCAGTTGACGTATTATTTTGCTTATATGATATTCATTAATCCATGTAAGCAAAAGAAGCAAGACCGTTTTGTGCTAAATAAACAAAGGAAAATGCTAGGGAGACCAACTTGGGAGACCAATTTGGGATACCAACTCTCTAATAGAGCGTGGGACCCATTGTATTGGTGGGCTCCACCTCTATTAGAGAGTTGGTACACAAGTTGGTCTCCCAAGTTGGTCTCCCTAGCATGACCCATAAACAAATAGCGGTTAACATGATGGTTCGCCAAAAGAAATATCCAATTATGTAAATGAATAATTTGCAACTTTAACGTTGGTTTTTGCTAATTTTCAAAAGATAAATAAGTTGATTTGACTTCAAATTATCTAAAATAAATAAGTTTTTTGAATTTGAATATTTCCTTGTGATACTGAAATACAAAAAGATAATGCTACAAATTTAAAGAATATCATACAATAATAAAATTATTCTTATATATTTTCACTTTAAAGTTTGTCTCTTGAACTTTAGTACCTGTACAATACTAAATAATATATATATATATATATATATATATATATATATATCTTGGAGCGCAAGTAAGCTGATCCCAAAATTAATCTCAAATTGAAATCCCAAAATAATCGGTTTTAGGGTATATAATATATGTTTTCCTTTTGATTAAAGTCAAAGTGAAACTGAAGATGGGAATCCTGTCAGTTAGCAGAGCAAAACCAACCCAAGCCGCCATTTCTCAACTCGCAAGAGCCTCTCCTCCGCCAACTCCAACTCTTCTTCTTGGTCCTCCAGAGATCAGAGTCGTCGTCCCCACACCAACAACTTACTAAACCCAGCAGCAGCATTACCCCAATGTATGTACCCAACCCAAACCCAGCAGCGACCCCTTCGCGGACCTCGTGGTTGCCAATTTCGACGACACATGTGCAGTCATCACACTCAAGTCACTCCCAATGGGAAAGAACAGAGAACAATTCACCCACCTACCTCTCCTCCGGCAACCCCTGCCTTGATTTCTTCTTCCACGTCGTCCCAGACACTCCGCCTTCCTACGTCAACCAACAGCTTCCCTAACCACCCTCAAGCTCATCTGCAACCCTCAAGTATCAGAGTCTGAGTGTAGTAGATTGATAGAGATGATCATCTGTTTGAAGATTATTTCCTTTTAATTAATCCCCTTGAAAACGAAAAATCAAATGTAAAGACAAATAATGAATAATAATTCAAGTTAATTTCCATTACTTTTCCATTTTGGTGCTTTCTCACTGAGAAGAACAAACATAAACGAGTTCCATCTTAATTTGAATGTTCCACTCAATCCACCAGTTGCTGCCCAAAAGGATCTACCTGCTCCTTTCTGTCCTTGTGTAATATTTTATCAAAACTATATCCTATCAATTTTCGTATCTATATATAATTTACAGAAAGTGAAGAGAACCTTTTGATCAAAATGGAATCTTGTTCATAATTACATATACATATGGACCATTTTTATTGGAAATAGAATTTCGATAATCACTCAATCAATGCAGACAACAAGAACATGCCCTACTTGATTGAGCAAAGTAAATCTGGTTTACTAGTGTGTACATCTATGCAAATCGAAATTCCAATCAATATAAAATTTTATATCCTACTATAGGCGGATAATATTACCAATTTCATATGCTTGAATGGTTATCATGGGTTTTTTTTTTAAAAATAAAAAAAATGCTTGCATTAGAAGGACTAATCCGTTGTTTCTTTTACAGTTCCAAACATACCAATATTAGCACTTCTGGTATGTAAATGTAACTCATTTTCAAACAACTATTCAGAAGTTCCTTATGGAATTGTTCATTTTTTTTATTTAACAGAAAAAGAATGAAAGAGTTTGCAACTAAATACAAGTAAAATAAGTTCTTATTATTCCTCACCTACAAATATCCAAATTTGATGCCTAATACCCCATAGATAGTTCGATCTGCATATGCACAATAATAAATTTTAACTCGAATGATTTCTAGAGGAACCCTACTTTCCTTAACTTCTGCAAGAATATTGGGGTGCTCGTAACAATTTGAAATTTTTGTAATAGCAATGTTGAGTTTTCGGTTTACACAATTGAGTTTTCTTTGTACATTCATTGTGAATTCTTCGATTCTTCGAGTTGTCTTCTATTAATAATTTGAGGAATCCCATATAAATTATGAGCTTTCATGTTCTATAAAAAATATCTTACATCAGTACATGTCATATTTTCATTTCGAATCCCGTCTCTTGAACTTTAGTAACTAGAAAATTTTCAATAGATATGAATTATATTGGTACTTAAACATTTTCCTTATTAGTATTGGCTCTTGAAATATTATTATTATTATTATTAT